TCTTTTCCATTATCCCCTATATACCCCCAATATACTATAGCCCCCTTTAAGGAGTTTAGACCCTAAACCCTAAACCCTAAATAGTAGTTTCCATTTTCTTTTCCATTATCCCCTATATCACCCCAATATAATTCCCCATAATCCCTATATAACCCCCTTTTCATTTTACATCCCCACTACAACTTGGCCAATGGGCTCCAACACGCCGCAGCGAGGCCACAGACTGCGAGGGAAATGCGGCCTTCCGAAGCGTCATGCGCAGCTCGTAAGTTAAGAGTTGGTATGATTTTCGCCCTTAAAATGCTGGATATAGAGCATTATCTTCGCATGGGAGGGCTGCTACTTTTGGCTACCATTTGACCAGTTCAAAATCTCTCCCTTCCAGCGAAGCGCTCAGCTACATGAAAGAAGCCTGGAGCTCATCGGCTGTAGTGTACAGGTGTCGCCCGGTCGTGGTGTGAATGACTGACCTCAGAGCTTTCACCGAATCATCCGCCCAAATGTTGCAGGATCAAGCTTGATTGTCCCCTTTGCGACTCAAAAGTAACAAGAAGCTCCACGAGAGGCTTCCTGCTGTCCCAGTGCCGGGCCAAGTTTTCAAGGAAGACAGGCCTTTAACCTGTAGTTTCCTTAGACCTATAATACGGCTAGATTTTTGATATATCCTTAGGGTTATACTATATAAAAAAAGCGCACAAGGAAAGTACAGACAATAGGCCGACAAGCTGCTGTTTCAGAAGATGCCGTTGCTCTGCGGGGTAGTCTGAGCCCCAGTACCACCAAGGCATCTCCCCCTGCATAGGTCATTGGTTTAGGGTTTAGGGTTTAGGATACATTCTCGTAGTTGATGGTGGAACGGCTAAGCTTCCAAACAAGGTGGGATCATGGTCCGCAAATTTGGAAGCCAGCTTAATTAACTTGTAACAGTGGCAGCAATAGATACCGCATCTCATCAGCTCAAATCAACATAGTAGTTTCCCAAAATGAGGGTACCCCAATATAGACCACCAAACGGCATAATCCTTATTATGGGACCCCCAGGAAGGGACTCCTCATTATGCGAAACCCGGCACATGAGGCGTGCCCCCCAAACCCTAAACCCCTAAACCCTGTACTTGTAGCAAGCCTTTGGCCCTGATGGAAGATCGACTTCAGGGACAAAGCTGGCATTGTAGACTTCAATCCCAAGCCTAGGTATTACTGTAGGGTTTATGTTGGGATTTTATCGGGATAATGGAAAATAAAATGGAAACTACTATAATGGGTTACGTAGGGATTATAGGGTGTGTATATATATATATATATTGGCCATATATCGGGGTTATATAGAAAGAATGGAAAAATGGAAGCTACTATAGTATTTAGGGTTTAGGGTCATGGGGACTTAGTAAGTAGGTTAATAACCCCTGTAAGCCATATAATAACACCAATTATCCCCATTATGAACCCACTTGCTAAGTCCCCATGACCCTCCAAGTAGGAGTTAGGCTTTAGGGTTTCTGTTAAAGCCGGAGAACTTGTACTTCTGGCCGAGGTGCTGGGTTAAGGGTTTAGGATTTAGGGCCTAGGATTAGATTAAACATAATTAGCCTGCTCATCACATCTTCGACTTCTTGAAAAAGTCTGGACCTACAAGTAGAGCGTTCAAACTGCCTTGCTCCACTCAATGAATCTTTTCACACTGCTGCACACTGCCCATTTCCACGTAATGTATACTGTCAAACTACAATTTGCGACTGTTATCACCAAACTTGCCACCGCCAGAAGCCAGGTGAGCTGTAGTCTAAACTCCTATTAGCCCCCTTAATAATAACCTCCTATACCCAATAGTAGTCCCCTAGATAATCCCCCTTCAAGGATTTTAGACTTATTATCGCTCAGGTGATTTCAGTCAAGCCGCTCTTTGCAAAGCTCCAAGGCCAAAGTGTGCTCCGGACTGAGCCAGGTCCCGCCGATCTCAATTACGTCATCCGTCCCCACATCGAACTGCCCTGGCCCAAAAAGAGACGCATGCGAAATCAGCAAAGTTCAAAACAATTAGCTCAAAGCTTGTTTTGTTGCCAGTTGCTAGAATGCTTCCAGAAGGCTGCCTATCATTTCTCGAATGCGGCCTCATGCTCCGCGTTCAAAACAAGGCCAGTCAATGCACGGTGCCTGTAGCTACGTCCACATTGCGGGTTCGCCCTCCAACCTTGGAGCTCAGGCCCACGCCCTATGCCGCAGCCTCCCCAAAAAGAAAATACATTGTAGGACCAGGCGCGTGGTTTGTGGCCTCCAAGACTCGAATAGTCAACCCTCCAGGGACAGCACAGGCATGCTCTCGCATACAAGCTTGGAAGCTCTTTTTGCTGTGCCTGGCAGTACGATTCACGTTGCGGATGCGGTTCCCCAATGGCCTTTCTTGTGAAGCTGGTACGCTGCTGACATGCCCGCCTGACCTTGCAGGAATCCCTTGCAGAAAGAAGCTGGAGACTAAATGACGCAGGTCAAAGTGCGCGGCGCACAGTGGCCTTGCTCTCCCTCTTGGAAAATTGACGTTGCCATATTCAATCGTAATATATCGTAATGGATTAGAAATGGTCTTTGGCTTGGCTTGACATGGGAAGGACTTCAAAGGCTCTGCACATTCGGGAGCAAACTTGAACATCTGGTTCTGCAGGAGTTGTAAACAAACTTCACACACACCAGCATGAGATCACAAGTTCACACAAGACCTTGCATGTGCCAATGAAATCCATTGAACCTGCACCGATGACGATCACGTCCACGGATGCGATCTCGCCTTGAGGTGCCTGGCACCGGAAACTAGACAGGGTTGCCATCAGCAAGCCAAATTCTCCACTGGTTGGCCATGTTGGGCCATCAATGCCATCAAGCAAGTGCTCCCTCTATCTCACTGTGTTGAGGCCACCACCACAGCATGACCCAGTAGTATGGCAGCACCAGCAAGAACAGAGACCTTGCGAAACTGGCCAGACTTCTACTTACCGTCGTCCCTACGTTGCAATGGAAGGCAAGAGCCTGCATCATTCTGCCTGGTTTTTTTCTGAGGATGGGGCCAGTGGCCAGCGGCGAAACACCCGCATGGCACGCCAGCGCTGGGACACCAGAGCTTGCATACACCCTCCAAAGACGACAAACTGTCTGACAAGGGGTTCTCGGCTCTGAAAGGGTGTCTGCTTAGCATGGGCAGCGTGATGTAGTGATCTGGCTGCCACGCCTCATCCTCCGCTGATGCTCATGATTTGCTAGCAGGCTGTGTGCGGGCGGGGTCTCGCCACGCAATGGTGGGGGGTTTGGTGGTTTTGGCATGTACAGTAAGCCTTGGGACGTCATGCTAAGTTGTTCGGAGCTGCAGAGGAAGGTCTAGAGTCTAGAATGTCTGAGAGTCATTCAAGCAAGAGCTGCAAGGCATCGCAAGGACCAGATCGCAAGCTTTAATCGCACACGGCTGACACTTTTGACTTCACGTCCTTCCAAGCCGGCTGGAGCTCGAGAAGCTGTCCGTCCGAACACATGGGGAGCTGAAAGCTCTAAATTGGCTCTCGACACCATTGCAATGGGCAATGATGTCAGCAGACCCTTGGAGCACCTGCACAAAGTCCACGCGAGCTATCTTTGAGGCTGCGGTGATGATGGCCGCAAACGGACGCGATACGACGTGACTATCGGATCGATGCTTGTGCTCAGTCAACTTTGCGGGCGTCTGCATCGCAGCCACCTCTGCAGAAGGACACATGGATGCCATGACGATGATGTATCTGAGGCTAATCCGCTGGACTTGAAGAGTCTCAACTGCATCAGTTTCAGCATCTCGCCTCCAAGGGCCTAACGACGTTTCTTTTGGCGCCGCTTGCCTGCAACAGCAAGCATGGCAACCATGTCTGCATGGTCAGATAGAACCGGAGCCGCTGCGCACACAACAAGCGGGTCAGCTACATACGTCGAGAGATCATAGTTCTTGCCGAAGACCATATTGGGGAAACCCTATTAGCCACTATATATGTAAATATAGCAGCTTCCATTTCATTTTCCATGTTCTTTTCCATTTGATTCTCCATTATACAAATTATGGTAACTTAATTGGGGAAGCACATTTACTACTATATATAGCGATTCTGGTAACACAATTCAAGTTCCTTAACATCATGGCTGGCCTTGCCCCGCCATGTCGGAGTGGACATCTGCCTGCTTGTGCAGCACATGGTAGCACAAATCTTTAGAGTGCATCCTCAGTCACGGTGACTTCTACAAGTGCACGAAAAGCGGGTCATCCAAAATCTCCACCACCGAACGATCTCTTGTTGTTGCACGCACAGACATCCTGACAAAGTTGACGTCTTTCAATCCGCAGCTTGCTCTGCATGTTGTGCAGTCTTTAACGCGAAGGTTCTGAACCCTGCAGACGCAACTTGAGATTGACTTGAAAAGTAGTCTGCAAGCGTGTTGTGCTGCCGAAGGCCAGGTGAGCGCCTTATGCTTAGTCAAGCTGCCAGCCAGATGCACAGGTGACCGAAGTCACACTCCATTTTGGTTTTTTCTTTTCTAGCAGTCCCCTCAGAGCTGCCTCTGCTTGTTTTTTTTAATGCCTTTCTACCTGGTGCTTAGCAGGGAGCGAGAGAATGGACCCCTGGCATAGTTCCTTCAGTAGTCCCTCTATCCGATTGCCTCATTCCCTGTTCAGCACCAGGCGGGCTGATGGATGGGACTTTGCAGCTAGCTAGTCTTAAGATCTCCTAAGCAGGGATGGAACGAGCAAAGATTTCCTCTGAGCCGAAATACGTTGAAGACATGCACATCAATATGCAATCCTGCCATACTCCACCCCTTGCTTCTGAACACTTATGCCTCTCAAGCTGCCAGAGGGGATCTGTGCTGGTGACATCTGCACCTTGACACAGAAGCTTGTGCTCCCGGCTGCTTCTGGACCATGCCCGCGGAGTTGCAGATCCTTGTAGATCTCTGGCTAATTGCCCAGGAGTTCTCAAAGCTATACTGGTAGTTAGTCTCCCCAAGTAGGGGGACCCCAATATAGACCCCAAAACACCCTAGTCCTCATTATTGGCCCCCCAAAGGATACCCCAAATTTTGGGAAACCCCCATATCCAGAATATACCGTCTGAAGCTTCAGAGTCCAACTTGCGACTTTCTTGTTGGCATGGCATGATCTGGCCCTGGAGGCTCAAAGGACTCAGCCTTGTCAATCCGATCACCTGCCCATGCCCCAGTAATAGATCGCCGCCATGCCATCCATCTTGGCTTTGTGTCGGTCCATCTCACCCATGTCCTAGAGCAAGCAGGGCTGTTACTGGAGATAAGGGGGTTACCCAAATTTAGGGTTACTTTTTTGGGGAGGTCCCCATGAAAAGGATTTTTGTATTTTGGGGTATATATTGGGGTTCCCCTATTTTTTGGAATCTACCAGATAGGTCCGGAAGTATGCAGGCCACAGTTCTGCGTACATGATGACCTGTCTACCTGATGAAGCCTCAAGGCTCCGAATTATGCGCAGCTAGCCTTCATGTCACATAGCCCCCCCTGACGTAGATAGAGCAGGGAATGGCCCAATATACTAATAAGATCCCCATTCTCCCCATATTCTATCTACTTAAGGGGGACTATCAATCCTAAACCCTAAACCCTAAACAGTAGCTTCCACTTTCTCTTCCACTATCCCAATATGACCCCTATATATGCCCAATATATACCCCTATATAATCCCTATAGAACCCATTTTAGTAGTTTCCATTCGTAATTCTTGGAGACGACATCTCTGTCCTCCATAATCCCTATATAAACCCATTATAGTAGTTTCCATGTTCTTTTCCATCATCCCTATATAACCCCAATATACTATAGTAGTTTCCATTTGCTTTTCCATCATCCCCTATATACCCCCATTATACCCCCTATATAACCCCTATATAAACCCTAAATAATCCCTATATAATCCCTATATAACCCCTATATTACATCTCTGTCCTCCTCTTCTTCAACCGAGCTGGAGCTCGAGCTGCTGCTTGAGGAGGATTCCTCTGCTCCTGCCTTAGGATCCACCGTGATCTCACCTTGGTTTAGGGTTTAGGGGTTTAGAGGGTTTAGAGGGTTAGAAGGTTTAGGGTTTAGGGGGTTTAGGGTTTAGCCTTTGCACAAGGGAGAAGGGAATAAGGGATTTTTAGGGTATATAGTGGGGGTTTATAGGGATAATGGGAAAGAAAATGGGAACTACTACAATGGGTTATACAGGAATTATACTGTAGGTATATAGTGGGGTTTTATAGGGATAATGGAAAAGAAAATGGAAACTACTATAATGGGTTATATAGGACTTATACCGTAGGGTATATAGTGGGGGTTTTATAGGGATAATGGAAAAGAAAATGGAAACTACTATAATGGGTTATATACGACTTATACCGCAGGGTATATAGTGGGATTTTATGGGGATGATGGACAAGAAAATGGAAACTGCTATAATGGGTTATATAGGAATTATACTGTAGTTCATATAGTGGGGTTTTTATTGGGATAATGGAAAAGAGTATGGACACTACTATAATGCTATATAGGAATTATACTGTAGGGCATATAGTCGGGGTTTTATAGGGATAATGGAAAAGAAAATGAAAACTACTTTGTAGGGTTTAGGGCATATATTGGTTGACAAAGAGCCACACATCAAGAGCCTGTTCAACTCTGTCCAAGGAAACTGGGCGAACAAGGGTGTAGGGTAATATAGGGATAATGGTAAAGAAAAAAATGGAAACTACTATAATGCTACTATAATAGGTTATATAGGGTTTAGGGTTTAGGGGGTTAAAGAGTCTGCCAAGAAGCCTTTCGCGATCTTCAGCGCATTCTCCTTTGCACAAGCCGGAGGAGCGAGGCACAAACAGGGAGAACAAGAGGCCAATACATACCCTAAACCTGAGCTGGACCCCCCACCCAGTAATAGTGACTATAAGGAATAGTAAGCATTATACTAGGGTCCTCTTATATTACTATATTATACCACCATTACAGGGTGGGGGGTCCTCCTACCCTAAACCCTACATGGTAGTTTCCAGTTTCTTTTCCATTATCCCTATAAACCCCATTATACCCTGTATATAACTTGTTGGTGAGGTTGCTCTCCACAAATGTGCGGAGGGTTGAAAGACTGACTTCATCTTGCCCTTAAAAAGCAGCAATAGCTGCGCACCAGCACTCCGCAGTTGGCAGTATGTGAGCTATGGTGCAAACTCTTAGTTTCCGCTGAATACGCTCTATAATGGTCCCCAACATACTACCCTATATAACCAGCCTTTCAGACTTTAGATCACAGTTCGTGGCTTGCCGTCGAAGGCGCAGCTGCAAGCTTGATGTCCTGGGCATCGCCACCCCAAGCCTCACAGCTAACTCGCAAGCTAGGGAATGATGTAGCAAGACAATAGGGGGACCCCGATATAAGCCCAATTTACTCTAATTCTTATTACGTGAGAAAATCCCTAAATAACCCCTATTACTATAGAACCACACAACCCTAGCAAACACAGCCCGCCTTCGCAGCCTGAGTCGCTGCTTTGCCAACTTCCGCGATTGTCTTGCCCTTGCGGCCATGAAGCACATGGCATGCGAAGCTGGGAAATGGCCGGTCACAAAGCCTGTGAACATGCTTCAAGAGTTACCGATAAGTAATTCAACAACAGAAGAGCATGCATTCATTAAAGGATGCGAAACATCCAGGACCCTCCTTGTACCCTTAATTGGGGATATATGGTCCCTAATAGTGGGTACTTAGGCCCTAATAGAGGGTAGGAGGAGGGTCTAGGATGAGGCCTCTTCTTTTGCTTGGGCAGCCGCTACCTCCAACGGAAAGTCTTTGCGACACACGCGGCTGCAAATCGTGACGACCGGCTCGAGAATGTAATTAACGTGATCAAGAGGCAGAGGCAACTTTTGCGATTTTCTTCTTCTCCTTGCACGACATCGCGAATTTGTAGATAGGACTGCATGCTTCCACAGCTGCAAATTCATGTTGGGACTGAAGCTGTCCTGAAATCCTGGCATTTTCGACACTTAGCGAAGGTTGCCGTAGCCACTCAAAAAAGAGATCTTGCTTCAAGCATGTGCAGTTGCACGGGGACTGGACCGTCTGCCAGAGAAAACTGCTTCACTCTGCTGCAACTGAAATGCCCGTTAGAGCTCCTTTTTGCTGATTTTCTTCTGCTCTTTCTCCTTGTCCTTCCTTAGAGACCATAAGAGCCATAGTCTAAACTCCTAGTATCCCCCTTAATACACCCTATAATCATCCCCTGCATAGCCACCCTTGTGAGGAGCGTAGACTATAGCCCAGCTTCTGGTGACCAAGCAGCCCGCAATTGAATATGCAACCTGCTAACAAAGAATCTCCGGCCAAAAGTACCCTGACATCCTGTTGCCCCCACAACTGAGCTATAGTATAGACTCGCGCTTGTGGACCATTATAATAAGCCACTATGTAACCCCCTACTTGAAGAATTTAGACTATAGCTCAAACAACAAAGCACATCCGTCCATAACTGTGGATGGCCACCATGCCGACACTAAGTCTCGGGCTCATCTTCCTCCTGCTGATACGAACATGTTTGAATAGAGCTTCGGCACATCTAGAAATCTCTCAAGCCTTCCGGAATGACAGTGCGTGCTGCAAAGAGCCCGATGTACATGCTGACCAGCGGGTGAACCCTACTTTGAGGGTCATGGGGACTTTGTAAGTAGGTTAATAACCCCTATAAGCCATAGAATAACCCCAATTATCCCCATTATTAACCCACCTACTAAGTCCCCCTGACCCTAAACCCTAAGCCCTAAACCAGAACCCCTAAATGTTATAGTAGTTTCCATTCTCTTTTCCATTATTACTAAGTCCCCCTGACCCTAGTTTGGTGCGTTCGACTTGATCTCCTCATCTTCCTCGGCCGGCGCCTGAGAAGCTGCAACGATGTCCTCCTGATCCACACCAGCCTGGCCCCAGCCATTTGGGGGTTTCCCAAAATTAGGGGTACCATTTTGGGGGTCCCAGTAATAAGGGCTATAGTATTTTGGGGCCTATATTGGGGTCCCCTTATTTTGGGAAACTACCATTTTGATGCAAAGATGAGATACGTTTCAAGTCTTATCTCCAGTCTGCCAAGTGCGCCAGCCCAGGCCCTACTTCAACATTCCTACCTACTTTTGTTGTTTC